GCTTGTCTTGCTGTGCCTGTGTGCTTATAGAGACACTCACAGCTTACTAATACACACAGGGGTGGCCCCATAGGACCCTGCAAGGGAAAGGAGCCATCCTAAAACAGGATATGAGGGCCAGTGCTCAGGGGACAGGAAACAAACTTTTAAAGATCAAGGAGCAGCATCTATTGTAAGTGACATCAGCATTTGAAATACCTTCAAAACATTTTGACTAAACTATCACTGTAACCCTCTGTTAGGACAGACAGTGTTCAGATATACTTTACAACTGATAATTACATTATCATACAGGATTTATATAGCGCCAACAGTTTGCACAGCAGTCTAAAATATAATCTGCCAGCACAGTACAGACGGGATTGATTACAGTACACAAAATAGGGATGCACCGATACCACATTTTTAAGACCGAGTTCCGATACTTTTGATCAAGTACTCGCAGATACCAATTACCGATGCTTTTTCTTAAAGGGACAGGTCACATTTTTTTCTAAAGCAATACAAACTAATGCTTTAAGGTCACTTTCTTAATATTATGATTCATGAGATGACGAGGGAGCCTGACGTCGGCTTGCTGGCCAATCAGAATGCCGGGCGCTGCGTCATTACACGGCGCCCGGATTTGTATTGCACGCTACCCGGCTTCCTGATTGGCCGGGAAGTCGGCTCCATGCTCTCTCATCACAAGTGACGAGAGAGCATGGAGCCATTTCCCGGCCAATCAAGAAAACCGGGCAGCATGTAATGATGCGCTGCCCGGCTTCCTGATACAGGAAGTACTCGTGCTAGGTATCGGAGCATTTGTTCTCTAGTAATATCCAGACCGCTAGCACCACTCCCCCTGCACGGGTGACTCCATCAGCTAGCCGACTGCTGTGGAGGCACCCATGCATGCAAGGTCGCGGTCATGTCCGCACCTAGCTGTGTGCTAGTGCTGGTGGAGCGGGGAATCCAGCCCCTCCCCTGTCACGGCAGAGACAGGATCGAGAGGTGAGCAAACGCCGGTATATGTTGGCTCACCTCCCGATCTACTGAGCCGACCTGTGACAGTCTCATTGTCACAGGTCGGCTAGAACTAGGAGGTGAGTGAAAAGCGCCCACCTCATAGTTCTCCTTTAAGAAAAATGTCTGTAATGAAAGGCAGAGTGAATACTTACTATGCCAAACCACCTGGTCACATGATCCACCAGCCAATAAATGGGTTCAAACAGGGACTCTATGACCACGTCGCTGTCGGTGAAGGAATTATAGGACAGGGACACAAGGCAGAGGCGGCAGTAGCGCAGGTAATCGGTCAGGAGGTTCACATAGGTCCATTTCCTTCTGTGTCCCAGGCGAAGGCACCTCAGAAAAAGGCGCCGAATGTTTCTCATTCCCACTACTCATTCCCTAGACGAGGAGAGAAAAATAAATACCTGAAGTGAAAAAGAGGAGCCGACATTCCACACAACAGAAAAAAATGTGTCAGAAAACCTGCACAGAACAAACACTTTGCTGCTGCAAGCGAGTGGGCCCTACACGCCCTAATACCCGAGGAATCGCAGCTTTCAGACCTCACCGGGTCCTGGAGTGTTCAGCAACATGTCAGTGCAATAAAACGGCTTTGTTCTATGGCTGGAGTGTACGTTTATCATAAAGAAAAGGCATGATTCACAGGGCTGCATGGTGACCTCAGGGGACGCTGAGCTGTATGGTGACCCCCAGGATTCACTGGGCTGTATGGTGACCTCAGGGGACGCTGAGCTGTATGGTGACCCCCAGGATTCCCTGAGTTATATGGTGACCCCCAGGATTCACTGGGCTGTATGGTGACCTCAGGGGACGCTGAGCTGTATGGTGACCCCCAGGATTCACTGAGTTATATGGTGACCCCCAGGATTCACTGGGCTGTATGGTGACCTCAGGGGACGCTGAGCTGTATGGTGACCCCCAGGATTCACTGAGTTATATGGTGACCCCCAGGATTCACTGGGCTGTATGGTGACCTCAGGAGTCACTGAGTTATATGGTGACCCCCAGGATTCACTGGGCTGTATGGTGACCTCAGGAGTCACTGAGTTATATGGTGACCCCCAGGATTCACTGGGCTGTATGGTGACCTCAGGAGTCACTGAGTTATATGGTGACCCCCCACCACATTATTTCTACATTCATACACCATTTTTAGTCACCTGCCGGCCGGTGTCACAAAGCAGGGGATGTCGGTGTCCTCTCACAGCCTCCGTCCCACCTCACACGCTCCATCCCGTAACACAGACCGCGGCACTAACCGGATGTCATTCCACTCAGCATACATCTGCCGGCGGAGCCATCCTGGCACATTGCGCATGCCCAGTACACGCCGCACGGGAACGGGGGAGGCACTGCGCAGGCGCGAAGAGCACCTGGCTGCAAGCAACCTGTCATCCCTTACTGCGCATGCGTGGGATCAACCTGTTTGCATTGATGCTGAGCAGGCTCAGGTCAATGAATCGAGTTATTATTGCAGCTGCTAGAGAGGTGAAGTGTCTGCTGGCGGGGTATACGGTTTTATGAGAGTATAAAAGGGGGGGAACCTCTGGTGCTTGAAATGAAAACGTCAAGTGATCATACCTGAAAGCTTTGCTGGATAGCAGACACAATAAGCGATTTTCTTTTGCAAAGCTAGCAAATAACATTCATTTTTTTTAAATCACTACTTATTTATGTGAACCTGTATCTTGACCAGGGGTGGGCAACTCCAGGCCTTCAGCTATGCTTTAACTACAAATCCCACCCCATCCTTCTGCCTCTGGGAGTCATATCTGTGGCTGTCAGAGCCTCCAATGCCTCATGGGACTTGTAGTTCCATAACAGCTAGAGGGCCAGAGTTGCCCACCTCTGATCTTGACAATTCTACATTGCTAATAGTACCTGCACATACTTGGAGCCTTGTGAACCTAGGACCCCCCAAAAGGAGAGGGGGGTCAGTCCAGAGAAACTGCTTCCCTTTTCTTTTTGCTTCCTTTTTTCATTTGTAAAACTAAACTTTAATAGATCGAAATGCAATTTTTTTTTCCAGGAACTCTGCTGCTGAAGCAAAAAAAAAAGGGCTTGAGATACTCCAAATACTCTTGCAGATGACAGCGCACTGCCCGCATTGCTGGGCAGGAGGGGACGTGGTGGGC